TTCCAAATCTTCTTACTCTAGTTGGGATGAGGTATTGTCTCAGTGTGGTTGTTCCTCTTCTAGTTGCTACTGAGTTCCTGGCAAAACTCCAAGCAGGACTCGCACCAGGATATGCTGTTCACTATAGCTTGTAGTCTTGGCAGCTGAGTGATAATCCTGTTACCTGCTTGTAATAGTTGCCAATCTTCAGACATCGCCTCCGCTTCCCTGTCTGTATGCCGTTTGCTTATCACCTTTCCTCCTACACACACACACCTCTCCACTCCGTCTTAGCATTTGCTTTTCTAAGCTAAGAGCCTGGGTGGAATGAAGCTGCCTGGACATCAGCACATAATGGAAAATGGCATGCCCTTGAAAACACCAGAGTGTGGCTCAATTATCATAGGCAGCTGGAATGAAGGCTTGGATGCTTGTGAGTAAAGTCTGAGTTACGGAAATGAGAGAAATGGGGTGAGAAATGTTTCTGCCTGGCTGCAGCTACTTTTCCCAAGCACAGACAACAACCCCAACTTCACTCCCTCAGAGTTTCAGAAGGAAAAAGTAGGTCAAGCTGATAGAACAATACTATCTTTCCTATAGAGGAATACTAATTTCCTATTAGAGGAATAATATACATATATAATAAATCTATGTATATTTATACATATATAATAAAGCATAAAAAGTATATTAATTTCAAGCATTGGCTTAATGATTGAAGTATTTATATAACATTTAGTTTTAATATTGAAAAAAGCAATAGATAGCTCTGTTTCCATAAGCAGTATAGCATGTAGCTTGATAAGCAAAAATAATCCATTGTGATGAAGAATTGAGATTATGATTAAAATAAATTAAGCCATTTCTTTTTCACTCCATATTTTAAAAAACAGGCCATACAGATTAAGCAACTAAGTCTACCATTATAGGACCCCTTTAGGGCCAAACTATAGTAATGGACAGTTCTTGACCCTTTTTAATTTTTTAAATGAAAGTGAGGCCCAATGGGAATTTCTTTACTTTTTTCCTTTTTGCTCATTGTAAAAATTGTATTATGAGAGGACTGTCTGTTCTTCCAGGGAAGAAAAAAAAAAAAAGGAAACAGCTTGGAATTAAAGGGTTTACCAGCCTCTGGTCTCCCCCAACTCCCACCTGCTATTTCATTCTGATGGTTGCTTTTTGGTAAAAAATAAAAACCTCAAGGAAAATACCATATACGTATATCTAATGTGGCCTTTAGCAGTAAGTTTCAATTATAATACAGACTCTGGTTGCATTTTGTTTAATCACATAAAGGTTATTGGCATTTTTCAAGAGGCTTTTAATCTACAATCCATTGAAACACTGTCCTTCACCCATTATGTAGAAAAGGGAAAATGAAAAAGCAATGCAAAATGACAGGGAAGAAAAGTCCCAGCTTTCAGGAGTTGTGTATTCAGAACTAGTTCATGACTGGAGGGTGATAAAGACTGAACAAACCTGCATTCTAGGGATAAGTCATAGATTTGAGCTAACAGACCCACTTAGAATGAGAGGCTGGCATGGGGCTCCCATAATACAGTTGTTGAAGTGGGATGACATCCTCAAAATGGCTGCCCTGATATAAATATTCCCAAACCCACCTTTTTCAAAAGACAAACTGGTGCAAATGCTCTGCCCCCACCTCCCACGCTTTCTATTATCCTTTATATTCCTGCCCCACCCCCACCCCCAGGGGAGGTAGGCACATTTCCAAATGAAGCAGTGTATCTACTCCTATGTTATCCTCTAAGAATTCCTATGAGGCTCATGTGGATACAACTGCCTTCTTGGAAATAAAAATAGTGAAGAAGACTGGTACTTTGCTTTGCAGCAATCATCAACCCATTGCACTGTTGTAATTGGAGTAATCATATTGAAAGATGAGGTAGGATACTAAGCAAACATTAAGAGAGTACCTGTAGGTATATTGTATAGTGTCCGCTTCAATAAACTATATTATATAATATATTCAAAAAGTGCAAGAAAAACAGGCCATACTGATAGTTGTTAATATAAATGAATTATCTTATCTAGGAAATTACATTCTATTCATACTTCGCAAGATGTAAAATGTGTGGTATTAGAGAAACTGGCTATATCAGATATTAGTTTAGCACTAGAGTTAATGGTAACCCAAAGAATCTGTTTATGTGAATTGTTTCCCCACACTAAAAGCTTAAACTAGCATCTTAGGTAGGCTTCATAGTTACAACAAGGGGGCAGGTCTACTGTTTTCCCCATTTACTGTACTCTGGATGTGTCAGACTCTCTTTCTCCACAATTGACAGTCACTGGAGTCTTGACCCATCTGGAGGGCAACAAGTTGTTGGGGAGCCTATTTCATAGCTATAGGTCTATAGTGACTGTTTAATGTGGGCCAGAGTTTCATACATTGAGCCATTACCTTTTTTTATATCTGACCATCAGTTCTCTCAGGCTTTTCAACCTGAATAGCCATAATTTCTTACAATTCTTCTGATTGTGCTATAGAAAATCAATAACAACTTACCGTATTTAGACAGACACATTTACAGACAACATTTTGGAGGACAGAGATCTTATCAAGTTGCAGCATTGTATCATCCCAGTTTTGTTCTCGCTCGTCTTAAATTTGGCTTCTACTCACTTTTGCAAGATATTTTTTACAGTAAGTATGAAACTCAAAGAAGACAGCCTTCTTTTCCATTGCAACTTTGGAAGATGAAATCAATCTGATTCAGGGTCTCTAAGACTTTTTATTAGGTAGTTTATACTTTGCCTCATCTCCAGCTTTGGAGTGTGCTGCAGTATTCCTGTCCCAGGCACCTAAGCAAGAAACAGCTGTGAGTGCTACTTTCCTGCATCAGCATTTTCAGCCCAGACCTCATGCTCCCTACAATTTCCGCAGTTTTGAGAAAGTGTAGACACAGCAAAGACTTTACACAAATATGGGGAGGGAAGGGAGGTACTCCTTAGGGAGGAGGGACAGCACCAGACAGTGGGCATCAGAAATACAGACTGAGGTTTAAAGGCTGATTATTGAAGAAATGAAAGGCAAAAGAGACGTATAACTTGCATTTCAGTGCAATTCCCATATGATATATAAACTAGGTAAATTAGCCAGTGATCCAACTATGACCAGTTCAATTTCCTGGGTGGTTGGCAGATGCCTAAAGGCACTTCAACCAGATAATACAGTTTTTGTTTTATTAATGAAGAGAAGCTAAGAGCCATTAGAACTTATGTTCCTTGAGCATATCTGATGCTTTGGGGGATGGAGATAAATGGCAAAGGCTATTCTTAGAGATGCCTGGTGCTAAGCCAGTTTAGGCAGTTCTGGGAATAATATACTTGCCCAAAATCTGTGTGTCACTGAACCTGTTTTGGAGATATGAGGAACTGTCTGAAATCTGGTAGGAACTGGACTATGGAATAGGAAGCAAAAACGTCTTGACAGTTCGGGTAAACACCTGCAGACTGAAAAGGCTCAAAGCACAAACATGGCTGCAGGCTAACATTTTCTCTCCCTTGCTTCCCCTTTTAATAGCAGAAGACTGGATCTACAGGGCTCTGATAACTGGGGATAGCTGCAGAACTATTAAATGATTCATTTCTTTGCTCATGATGAGGAAAGCACTACTGAGGAAAATACTGTGAGGGACAGGACTGAAAACTTTCCAGTAAGCAAGTCTTCCTTGTCTAGAAAAATTAAAAGCGCTGGCTTAGGCAGCTTACTTACAATGAGATGGTGGATCAGGTACCACATTGTATTAACTAGTATTAGCTGGATAATAAAAAGTGCCTGACATTCCACATGGTATCTAAAAAGATATTATAAGGCCATTTTCTCTAAAGCTATTTATCGTCTCTTATAGCCTCATCCAAACACTGCTGTGCTAATATAACAGCAATGAAGCTTTATATTGCCACGACAATGGCTGATGATGCTATAAAATGCTATCAAGCACTAATGAAGAAATGGCCTAAGTCTTGCAAATTTGGATGCATCAGCTACAAGACTTGCTCTCTGGAACCTTCCAGGAACCCTCTGGCACCAAACTATCCCGTTGGACACCTCTTCCTAATGACTTCCAAAACAACCAGCACTTACCTCCCCCCCCCCCCCCCCGTTTCCTTCTCTAAGGATCAGTGTAGTTGATAAATACTGGCAACTCACATTTCTGTAGCAGTACAACTTGAGTCAAGACAGCTGGGGTATATCCAGCTCTACTCTGGAATCGGCAGACTAACATTAGACAACAGTACCTCGGCGCTATGCGAAATTGCTTCCCCGCTGCAGAGTAATCACAGCGCGAGGAGGAAAGCATCCGTGCCGTTTTCTTTCCTTTCAGAAAGAGATTTATTCTTCAGAAGTATTGTACTAACTGCATTTAGTGTCGTGTAACTCTTTTTACGCCTGCTCCCAGTTGGTTTACTTAGTTGTTCATCGTTTTTAAAAAATCAAATTTTCAAATATTCTTCCTTCAGTCTCGTCTCCGTTGTGCTCAGGGAAACGGACGAGACAAGGATACGCGGCTGGACTTTTTTTTTACTACAGTCCCCATCAGGGCCAATTTCTGCTTACTCCACCTACCCTCTCGCAAGGTCGGCTTCTTTCAGGAAACAGCTGTTTGAAGCAGCTTTCCAAAAAAGGAGACTCTGTGAGTTGTACAGCCGGGCTAGTCCAGGACGATCCTGGGTGGTCCGGCCGCGGAATCAAAGCCTCCCCCTCGCTGCCTGATACCGTAGGCTGCGCAATGGGGCCTGCGCGTACAACGCGGCTCCCGCTCCGTCTCGCGCCACCGGGTCCTCAAATTCAGCCTCGACGTTCTGGATCCGCCCGGCCGCGTGCGCCTGGCACGTGAGCCACTTGTTTTTCCCACCAGCTTCGCAGCCGCGCTCCCGCCCGCTATTATTCTTCTGAGGGGAGGGGGAGCCGGGCGAGAGACCTTTGGGCGCCTCCCCTTTAAGGCTCGGGGCGGCTGCACCGAAACGGCTTCATGAATGGAGGCACGTGACCCAAACATCACGTGACGTGTCCGTGAGCGGCGGTAGCGGCGGACCCCGGACTCTCAGTCCCTCTGTGCGTGGCGGCCTCCCCCTCCCCGCCCCGGACCCCCCTCCGGAGGCACCGAGCGGAGGGTGAGAGATTGCACGAGCAGCCCAGGGCTTCGGTCCCCTTTGAAGGGGGGGTGGGGAGGAAGGCTAGCGCCCCCCCCGCAAGAGCGGGAGGAAGAAAGAAAGGAAGGGGAGGCGGAGAGGGAGGAGGAAAAGGAATTAATAAGGGGGGGGCTTTCTAGGGAAGACTGCTCCTTTCCCGGACGATCGGCTTCCCCGGAGTTGCGTTTCTCCCCGCAGTGTTTATTTTTGGAAGAAGCGCCTCCTGCCCTGGACGCGGGGACACGGGCTGCCGGGAGCGCGATCGCGGCTCTCCCCCCGCCCGGCTCTGTTTCCACCCGGGAATGTTCTGGCGGGCTCGGAGGCGGGGGCGCGTGTCAGGGGGGGGAGGCCGGGAGGGCGAGGGGAGGCTGACGGAGCGTGA